CATAATGATTTGACATTTGCATGCATTTTTTAAAATTTGCATGCATTATGAAATGATCACCATGATTAGTCTGGTGTCATGATAACCATCTGTCTCCGTACAAAGTTATTACAATATTATTGACCATATTCCTTATGCTATTCTTTTTACTGGCTGCAGAGATTTCCATTATATGGAACTTTCATAAGTTATTTAACTGATCCCATTTTATTGAACATTTAGATTTCTTTTTATTTTATGATTTTGCTATTACAGTAACTTCTTGGTAGATATCTCTTAATAATTATATGACTCTATGTAGAATAGAATTCTTAGGTTATTCTAAAACATCATATCTTGTGATATAGGTTTATACCTCAATAATTTGACCAAATCTTTGGTGGGCTGCCTTGTTATTGGCATCTTTCTCATGAAATTGGAATTTAGAAGCAATATTTAATGTATTACTTTAATAAGCTAATTTAGGGGAATAGCTCCAATTAATTAAGATTTTACCTTGGGAAGTAGATTATGCCTGTGTGTACAAAAGATAAATACTTAGAAAAGGTGAGAGTGCTGGACCATCATTCTATTTCAAATCTAATATTATATAATCTACTGTTTACACACTGGCCTGTAGTCTAAGTGTTTTATTTATATCCTTTTAATCATCTGAGCAATCCATTGAGGTAGGTACTAGTATCCTCATTTAATGGTAGATGAGACTGAAGTTTAGAGAGGTTAAATGACTTGCCCCAGGTACCAGAACTGGGTGTGCAAAAACTGTATTCTTAAAGGTAGCTGTAGAATTCATATTTCTTGTTTTGTTGTTGTAGTCCCCACAATGAAATAATGTTTTCAATCATTCAGAACCCAGGGAAAGATGATGGAAGAAAATAAGATATGCCTCTTATTCTTGAAAATTAGTGCTCCCATTTTCCTACCACATCCAACTTTTTGGATTCATATAAAAAGTGTTGTACAGTGTAAATAAGTAATGCAATTGAAGGATGAAACTTTAATTTGGAATAGCATTATGCTTCATGCTGTAATACAAGCTTTTGAGAATAGGCTGAACTGTGAACTTCAACAATAACAAAATTTCTGATAAAGGGGCCCTTTGCAAAAAGTTAAAAGATACTAACATATATCCAATAGTTTGGGTATGACAATGTTTTATGTATTTATCCAGCATAATTTGCCCTTTCTTTTGTGAATGGAAATCCCTGTTTTGCTAATTAGAGTGTATCCAGCATAATTTACTTTAAAAAATATACTCAGGATCATCATTTCGCTCATTTATAGTACTGTGATTTATTTATTATATATTTGTTTTTGGCTACGCTGGTTCTTCATTGCCGTGCACGGGCTTTCTCTAGTTGCGGTGAGCAGGGGCTATTCTTCGTTGCAGTGAGCGGGCTTCTCATTGCGGTGGCTTCTGTTGTTGCGGAGCACGGGCTCTAGGCGCGCGGGCTCGGTAGTTGTGGCGCATGGGCTTAGTTGATCTGCATCAGGTAGGATCTTCCCAGACCAGGGCTCGAACCCGTGTCCCCTGCATTGGCAGGCGAATTCTTTTTTTTTTTTTTTTTAGTGGGGAAGGAGGAGAGAGGGGAGGAGAGGGGAAGGGAAGGGAGGAGAGGAGGGAAGGAGGGAGGAAAAAATTCTTAACCACTGTGCCACCAGGGATGTCCCAGTACTGTGGTTTAACAGGCTGATTATCTTAAGTACTCTTGGAGTATACTAAAGACAGGGATCCCAAAACAACTCAAAACTCTGTCTGCTTTTAGGTTTACTTTTCCTTTATCACTGACAGCTTTATACCAAAAGCTATCTCAGAACAGCAGATTCTCAAAAACAAAAAAGATTGATGATGACTCAAAAGTGTACATATATGACTGGGCAGAAGAAAACTTCAACATCTCCATTGCTACGGAACTTCTTTGCAATTAGCTTGCAGAACTTGATTCTCCTCAAAATGTTGTGATTGCTCTGCGTATCCTATAAATTATTTACACCCTGATGGTACAAAATGGCTACATTAATGGCACCTCTGGCTCCACATAGTATCAAGAACTTTAATAATTCATCTTTTATTACAGCTACATCCCTGTAGATTAGCATGAGTGGGAACTGAGTATAACACTGAGCTAATAAGTAAGGCCTTTGCTGAGAGACCTTTACTCTCCAAACATCGTATCCATAAATATTCAGATATTAGTCTTGTTAAAAAATAAAGATTATTGACTGTTAAAAAGCTAGACTCTTTAGGTTGTGTTTGTCAAGCATTAGATTACTTCAACTATTTAAGTGCATTTTAAGGATATTTCAAGGGGAAAATCTTTGAAAGACATTCTCCATTTCAGGACTTGCACTTAAAAAACAAAAACAAACAGATAAACTAGCATTAGTTTATGTGAACTAAATGAAATTAATGACTGGCCACTGGCAAGAATAGAGACTTTCATTTTGAAAATTATTCGAATTCTTAATCTAAGAGTTTTACATCTGATATTTGAAGTCTTCAAATTTATCTTCTTCAGCCTTTTTGGACTACTTTAAAAAAATAAATTGGAAATTTCTTATGGAGAGCAAGAGTGTGTCTGTGTACCTTCGTATACCCATGTCAAATTAAATGCCAGAGTGAAATTTAGATATAAAAGTTAATTTACACATTTTTCAGTGAAGGATAGTAGTTGAGTTGATGTTGAATTTATGTTTACCATTTTGAAGTGACTCCACAGAGTACTACAAATGTTGTTTTCAAAAAAGACAAAAAGGGGCTTCCCTGGTGGCACAGTGGTTGAGAGTCCGCCTGCCGATGCAGGGACGCGGGTTCGTGCCCCGGTCCGGGAAGATCCCACGTGCCGCGGAGTGGCTGGGCCCGTGAGCCATGGCCGCTGAGCCTGCACGTCCGGAGCCTGTGCTCCGCAACGGGAGAGGCCACAGCAGTGAGAGGCCCGCGTACCGGGAAAAAAAAAAAAAAAAAGACAAAAAGGTTACTAAAGTTGACAGTGGTTGTAACCTTAGCACTTAGCACAGTGTCTGGCACATGGTTCAGTAAATGCTTATTGCATGAATACCTGGTGATCAGATCAATCCATATCATTCTAGTTACACATCTGGTATTTTGAGAAAACAGCTATATGATTTATACTAGTTGCTTTCTATGATAGTACCACTTTGGGAGTGTATTTCAGCTCATTGTTAGTGTTTTTTAATCTGTTCATCGTGGATTTGTTGCAGAAAAGTCCAGAGAGCCTCATTATATGTGGTTCTGACCTGTGAGGCATATATTCTTTTTTTTAAAAAATTAATTAATTTATTTTTGGCTGCGTTGGGTCTGTGTTGCTGCGCGTGGGCTTTCTCTAGTTGCGGCAGCCGGGGGCTACTCTTCATTACCATGTGCAGGCTTCTTATTGCGGTGGCTTCTCTTGTTGTGGAGCATGGGATCCAGGCGTGTGGGCTTCAGAAGTTGTGGCACGTGGGCTCAGTAGTTGTGGCTCACGGGCTCTAGAGCACAGGCTCAGCAGTTGTGGCACGCGGGCTTAGCTGCTCCGCGGCATGTGGGATCCTCCTAGACCAGGGCTCAAACCCGTGTCCCCTGCATTGGCAGGCGTATTCTTAACCACAGAACCACCAGGGAAGCCCGAGGCATATATTCTTTTGTTTACAAAATAAATTTATTTATTTTATTTATTTTTGGCTGCATTGAGTCTTTGTTGCTGCGCGCAGACTTTCTCTAGTTGTGGCAAACAGGGGCTACTCTGTGGCAGTGCGCAGGCTTCTCATTGCAGTGGCTTCTCTTGTTGTGGAGCATGGGCTCTAGGTGCGCGGGCTTCAGTAGTTGTGTCACGTGGGCTCAGTAGTTGCGGTTAGCAGGCTCTAGAGCGCAGGCTCAGTAGTTGTGGTGCACGGACTTAGTTGCTCCGTGGCATGTGGGATCTTCCCGGAGCAGGGCTGGAACCCGTGTCCCCTGCATTGGCAGGCGGATTCTTAACCACTGCGCCACCAGGGAAGCCCTGAGGCATATATTCTTAAGACAGCATTAGTCTGCAGAGAGGCTCCAAATTATTTCAGGTATCTTTTGGATTCCATCAAAAAGTGTTAGAGGTTTTTCAAACACACAGAGAAAATTATTCTTTCACCCAGTAGAGACAGTGGACAGTTTTCACTGATCCTGATCACCACCACCATCATTAACGTAACTTGGAGTGAGATGAATTTCCCTTCCCTGAAGCTAGACTGCTTTTTTTGCTTTTAAGGAAGACTACATCTCTATCAAGGACGTGATCAACCCCAATTCTAATACATAAGCTCACTGTCTTGACTTGTGAAATCTAATCCATCTTCAAGTTTATCTACAGCTAAAGTGTAATATATATTATATATTATATAAAGTATATATTACTTTAAAAGTATATATTACTTTGTATTATGTTACTTTAAAAGTATATATTTCTTTCAAAAGTATGTAAAGCATACTGCATTATAATAAAGTATAACATAATCACTGGAAGGGATAAAGAAACCATAATATCTCTGTGGAATGATCTACAAGATGTGTTGTTAAGTGAAAAAACCAAGGGGCAAAATAATGTGTAAATTATTCTACCATTTGTGTAAAACTTTTCTGGTACATGCATAAAGTATCTGACAGGCTGTAAAAGAAATGGTATATTTTCACTTGTTGCTGTTGGGGAGGGAAATTGGATGGCTGGAGACAAGGGTGGGAGACTTTTTACTGTATATCCTTTTATACTTTTTGATTATTGAACCATGTGAATGTATTTCCTAGTTAGTAAAAACAAAAACAAAAAACCCTTATAAAAAGGAGAAAGTAAAAGAGCTATTTTGAAATCTACATAAATTTTTATTCATCCGTTATAAACATTTCTTTTTATCTGTACTAGTTAAATTCACATTTGATAGGGCATTTAGATTCCTTTTTTTCTTTTTTTTTTTTTTTCTTTAAGTGTGCTTTCCAGGGCTAAACTAAGAATGATCTCTTATCCTCCATTTAGGGATTTGAGTCATAATCGGTTGTCTAACTGGAACATAAGCTTGGAATCTCAAACATTACAAGAAGTGTAAGTTATTTTTATTTATTTAAACTTACATTAAATTCTTTGAGGTGATTTGATGAATTATGAATTTCAGGATGTTTAATGCAAAAATGTTAAAAAATTGAAGGAAAGAAAACTTTAGATTAAAACATGTTTAAAAGCCTAAACTTGTCTTTGGCTTTGTTAGTATCACAAACTCTCTGGGTATTATGCCATTGCATTGGTGATTTCAACTTGTAAACTGCGTAGAAATACTGTTCTACTTCCTTGGGGCCTAAAGTAAGATTTCCCCTCTTCAGAGTGAATATATTTTATTTTGTTTTTTGCCAGAGTTTCAGCCAGTGAAACTCTGTATTGTGTAAATTTTTTTTTTTTTAATGTTTTGACTTGTCTAAGGTGGAAGCATCATGTCTGAAGTAGGTTTATATGAAATACAATATTTTTGGTATCACCTGGAATATGGTAGTTAATATAATTCAGTTTTCCTCTTCATTGAAGTTTTTCCTTTAGTACTGAGATGTATTATTATGTAGTTTCTGGAGAGAAGTTTCTAAAATATTATTAATATCAGTTATTGCATTGTGGTATTCCCAGAGGCACAACTGTTGAGGCCTGTTTACCTCTATACTAAACACCCTCAGAATCCTCAGATGAATTTTTCTTTTGAATTTCTTTCTGACAAGGGGTACTTTGTGCTCTCATTTGTTCTGCATTCTCTCCTTCCCTGCCTCAAATTGGCTGCCCCTAATCTGCTGTGGACTGAATGAACAATTGACAAGCTTATTAGCTGAAAGCGTAGGTCCTGAGGAAAGGAAAATGCTTAGTGGGAAGTGCATGGCCTTATTATTTATTACATGGACTTTGTAACTTCAGTTGATTACTTGGAGGCCTTTTACTTCTGGCTTCTTTTCTGTATTCTAGATTGTTGAGGTTGTTCAGTGATTGAAAAACAGGTTGGTGAAATGTGATTGCATTAGATTTGCTACCAAAACAATTGAGATAATCTTTTAGGTCTGTGGTCTCAAGCAACTTTCCCTAACTTTGAGTAACAAAAAAATATGTGTGTGTGCGTGTGTATTTTAAAAATTTATTTAATTAACTTACATATAAATTTATTTATTATAAATAAATATATATAGAGAGATATGAATTATTCTTTCTTTGTTTAAGAAGGACTTAAATTAGCAGTCATAATAGTAACTATTCAAATAACCTTGCTGGGATTAAAAATATTTAATGTGCAAAATATTTCCTAACCTTTCTAATATTGGTATCAAATCATAGATCTATACCATGAAAACATTTTTTTATTAAAATCTCTAATTTCTCAGTAGAAAATATTTAGTCTAACTCATTCTGGGTCATAGGCTTTTTTCAAATTTGGCATTTATCCTAAAGAATATGTACTAGCCAGAAACTAGAACTCGAGGTAGCATTTCCCTCACTAAATTTTTATATCTATTTTTCCCCCTACTCAGGAAAATGAATTATAATGAGCTAACTGAAATCCCATATTTTGGAGAACCAACCACTAATATTACTCTTCTCTCATTGTAAGTAAATAAAATTTCAGGTCTTTTACTTAAATTATGCATAGTACACAGTTTTTTTTGTTTTTGTTTTAGGTACCCTTGTTGTTGATCCTAATTATTTAACATTTTTGTGGTTTAGGGTGGATCACTGGCAATAGCTTCAATATAATCTTTGTTTTATAGAGTCCATAATATAATCCCAGAAATAAATGCAGAAGCATTCCAGTTTTACCCTGCTCTCGAGAGTTTAGATCTCAGCTCAAATATAATATCAGAAGTCAAGACATCTTCATTTCCTCGAATGCAGCTTAAATACCTGTAAGTAAAATAGAGTTTAAACTAGATTTAATTTGAAGTGCATGTTTATTATTCATTGATATTTATCTTCTCAGATATGTCTTATTTATTGTGATTTTGATATGCTTATGTGAAACAAACCTAGGTTAGATTTTTTTGTTTTTTTTTCTGCCCTTAAAGAGTACACTATTTTCAGAAAATATTAAGTATCCAGGGTAATTTTTGAGATTTAATTCTGGATTATGTTTTACTAACAGTCATGTAAAAGGTAAATGGGAGTAGTTTGTTAAACAGTGCTTAACCTGTGTAATGGTGGTGATAATTAGCGTGAGTGCTAGTGTTTTACAGTTTACAAAGCACATTCACACATACTGTTTCAACCCAAATGAAGTAAGTATTATCCTTATTTTGTGCTTGAAGACACAAAGCAGTTAAATGATTTGTAAAGTTGCATACGGTTGCTAAGTGGTAGAGCTGGGGCTCAGTCATAGACTTGAGGCAGCTTTACAGTGGTAGAATGTTTAGTTTCACTGAATTTTTTTGTTGTTATCTTGTTCATTTTAGGAATTTGAGCAATAATAGGATAACCATCTTGGAGGCTGGTTGCTTCGATAATTTGTCAAGTTCCTTATTAGTGGTAAAGTTAAACAGGAATAGAATTAGCATGATTCCACCCAAGATCTTCAAGCTACCTCACCTCCAATTCTTGTGAGTAACTAAATAGATGGATTATAAGAAGATTGCTTTTTCTTATATGTCTGTTTCTTTTTATTATTATTAGGGCAAATCAACAAACCAATTTTTTGACTGTAAAACTATTTCTGTTAAAGGGAACTTAAAAGAAACAGGATTAAAGTTGTGGAAGGTCTCACATTCCAAGGTCTAGACTCCTTAAGATCTTTGAAAATGCAGCGGAATGGAATTAGCAAACTCAAGGATGGAGCTTTTTTTGGCTTGGATAACATGGAAGAATTGTAAGTACTATGAACTAGAATAGGAGATTGTTAGGAAGGGAGCCTGGGCCTTTTCAGTGCCGAACAGCTAGGATAGTAGCTTTAATTATAACAAAGTACTTTAGCTCTTCCTTCCTTCTCTTATGTGAAATAAATTAAGATTTAAGCTTTGTTATCTAACTGGTATTTTTGTCATCATTCTTCCAAACATTTCATCTGAAAAGTTTATATTCCCTTAATGTTTGACTGATGAAAATTATTAGGATTTATCCAGAACAGGTATACTATATCTCTTGGTGAGTTGATTTTATAGATATGATATTTTAGAGAGTCTTACAGGCTTCTTGCACTAAATCTTAAGAAACATGTACATATTTATGAATAGAATTTGTCTGCTCACTTGGGTTGAGCAAAGGTATATGCCTCTCTGTGCAAGACTTAATGAAGATTTTTGGAATCTTCTCATTGCATGCCTTGTTGTTTTTTTTTTTCTTAAAGATTTAATTTTGTTTATTTTTGGCTGCGTTAGGTCTTTGTTGCTGCACGCGGGCTTTCTCTAGTTGTGGTGAGTGGGGGCCACTCTTCGTTGTGGTGTGCAGGCTTCTCATTGCGGTGGCTTCTCTTGTTGCGGAGCACGGGCTCTAGGCATGTGGTCTTCAGTAGCTGTGGCTCACAGGCTCTAGAGCACAGGCTCAGTAGTTGTGCACGGGCGTAGTTGCTCTGCGGCATGTGGGATCTTCCTGGACCAGGGCTCGAACCCGTGTCCCCTGCATTGGCAGGCGGATTCTTAACCACTGTGCCACCAGTGAAGTCCTGCATGCCTTGTTTTGCAACATATTTCCTCCTTTCTTTAATTCTGCAGAGAACTGGAGCATAATAACCTTACAGAAGTGAACAAGGGGTGGTTGTATGGCTTGCGAATGTTACAACAGCTCTATGTGAGCCAGAATGCTGTTGAAAGAATCAGCCCTGATGCATGGGAGTTCTGCCAAAGACTGTCTGAACTGTAAGTGTGAGATGGCATTTCATTGGAAGCTGTGAGACTAGAGCAGGTTGAATAAGTCATTCCCATGGCCAGTAATGAGATCTAATATCCCTCTTTATTAGAAGTTTGAAAGCCCTAAATTTATCATGTAAGTAGAATAAGAATATGAAAGTTGAACTAGAAGAGAGTGAATTTTTTACCTTCCATGTTTCCTGTTTTTAGTGATTTGTCCTATAACCAGTTGACCCGCCTGGATGAATCTGCCTTTGTGGGTCTGAGCTTACTGGAGAGATTGAACTTAGGGGACAACAGAGTCACTCACATTGCTGATGGTGTATTTAGGTTTCTTTCCAATCTTCAGACACTGTAAGTATATCTCTCCTTTTTGGGGCTTTTTTTTTTTTACTAATTTTTTTAAAGCACTAAAGCAAAACAGCTAATCAGTGTACATATTATGTATGTTAATATTTTGCAGTTCTTCTCTCCTATGCCTTGGGGCAAGACAGTCTTGCTTATCTCTATCCCTATATATAAATTTTATGTATCTCTAGCCATTTCAGTTTGTACTTTAATTCTGAGTTAACTAAACAACAAAGCATCTCTTATTGTGCCAGTTACTGTGGAATAAAACAGTTGCTAGTGTCAGGAATGCACATTTTCTTACTCCTCTGACCTTGAACTACCAGTAGTGTACCAGATCTACCACTTCTCATTCGAAAGGATGCAGGACATATAGTGGGAACAGCTCTGGCAGGAGACCTCTTTACTGTTACCAGTTCGCTTCTTGACTTTGGACAGAAAAAACTAACATTTATTAACGATCTGATATGTGCCAGGTGCATTCAGAGTACTGGGATATTATTGCTCTTTTCCGTATTGGGGGACTGAGGTTCAGAGAGATTAAATGATTTGTTTAAAGTCATATACCGTGTAAATGTTTGGGCCAGGATTAGAACCCAGGTCTTTTCCCAGGTCTTTTTTATGCTAAAGCTCATGTGCTTTTTTAAAAAAAAATAAATTTATTTATTATTTATGTATTTTTGGCTGTGTTGGGTCTTTGTTGCTGCATGCAGGCTTTCTTTAGCTGCTGTGAGTGGGAGCTACTCTTTGTTGTGGTGCACGGGCTCCTCATTGTGGTGACTTCTCTTGTTGCGGAGCATGGGCTCTAGGCGTGTGGGCTTCAGTAGTTGTGGCACGTGGGCTCAGTAGTTGCCGTGCGCTTGCTCTAGAGCGCAGGCTCAGTAGTCGTGGCGCATGGGCTTAGTTGCTCCACAGCATGTGGGATCTTCCCGGACCAGGGCTCGAACCCGTGTCCCCTGCATTGGCAGGCAGATGCTTAATCACTGCGCCAGCAGGGAAGTCCCTCATGTGCTTTTCATTTTACTGTCAGATGAACAAAATTACTTAGCCTTTCCTGTTGTTTTTTGTTTTTTTTTTTATGTCCAGTGAAGGATGGATATAGGATTAGATGGTTGCAAAAGGCAGTTTCAACTCTAAGCTTCTGTTGTTCTGTAAGTTGAATGTTTTACCCTGATCATGGAATATAATTGAATGAAGAGGTATTTTAATGAAATATAGTAATCTCAAGCATAGAGCAGAATAAGAGAAAAAGAGTAATTAGTAGAATTTGTAGATTCTCAAGGTTCCTGAATAGGGAACTTTTTGGTCATCAGGTTTAGTTGATAAATGGTCTCAGAAAAGAGGCAGGTTCCCAACTTTGGGACCTAACCATAAGTGACAAAGAAAGCATGATAATTTTGTGAAGGTGTCTGTGCGTGCACCTGTGTGTGTTTGATGTTTTTTCTTTTTTTTTTAACTTAATGAAGTAGTCCTCCTTTAGATTTGGCCTTGAAAAAGTAAAAGTGATTTCCTTTTTTTAAAGTTTTTCTCTTTTCTACCTTATCAGAGGTTAAATTAGATCAGTGCAAACTCAGGAATTTATATTAGATGCAGCTGTAGTCTTTTGGCAGTGCATGGGATGGCAGACAGGTTCTTTTAGTACACCACTGATTATTACTTTTAGCATTAAAGTTTAGGAAAGTAATTGCAGACATAAATGATTATCTAATGCTACAAAAATAGTTAAGGCAGAATTAGGAACAGATCTGAGATATTCCGGCTTTAGATCAATGCTCTTGCCAGAGTAGATATACTTCTTACTCCCTTTGGTGAGTGAGTTCTATTTATGCTGTTCTGTGGAGGAGAGGGAAAAGTCCTGCAGAGTTGAGCCATCAGTTGTTTCAGTGTTTATTCTTTAGTAAAATAAAATGATCTTTCTTAGCTTTCACTTCAGGTAAAGACATAGCTAAATGGGAAGAGTGATCTCCTATCTCCTTACTGTTATTCACATAACTTTACACATGTCTTTTTTTTTTTTGCGGTACGCGGGCCTCTCACTGTTGTGGCCTCTCCCGTTGCGGAGCACAGGCTCCGGACGCAGACTCAGCGGCCATGGCTCACGGGCCTAGCCGCTCCGCAGCATGTGGGATCTTCCCAGACCGGGGCACGAACCCATGTTCCCTACATCGGCAGGCGGACTCTCAACCACTGCGCCACCAGGGAAGCCCTACATATGTCTCATAAAGCAAAAAACTTTGTGCTTTATTATGAGATGACTTAAGGAAGCAAAAGTGATTAAATATCTTTAACTGGTATTTCTTCCATGATGACATGGTGTGGTGCAATTGCATTTCGTCTGAGAATGGAACAGTGGATTTTAAAAGATCCATACTTTTCCTTTTAAAGAAAACAGAGTGATCACTCCAGCACATGGGTATATCATTCTTACTTTCCAGGGGGCATGTTTAATTGCTGTTGAGCTGTGAAGCTCTGTATTGACATTACTTTTTGTCAGCCATTTTAGATTTAAGGGCTCAGGGGAAGGCTTGGATCACCCCAAAATCCCATTAGTCTGAAATAAGATTTGTAAGCCATACCCCCTGCATCTTGAAATCCTCCTCTTTGTAGGGCCCTGACTATAATTTTTAATATGCTAACACAATTACGGGCTATTAGCTAGGAAGATTAATACTCTTAGCAGGTTGCTTAATTTATTTATCAAGATTGGCTTAATTCTTAGCTTACGAGAATTAGTTCTTACATGCTTATCTCAGGTATTCTTTAAAAAGAAGAGTTGAGTGTTTATCATAAATAACCTAACCTTTACTGTAAGGATCAAAATTAAAATTAGCATTGCTATGTCAGGATGATGCCTGATGGTGTAATGGTCATGTTGACTAACATAACCTGTCTATCCCTGACATTTTCGTAGAAACTTAAGAAACAATGAAATTTCATGGGCCATAGAAGATGCTAGTGAAGCCTTTGCTGGACTCACAAGTCTCACTAAATTGTATGTACTTATGATATTTATGTATGTCTATGAAGGTATATTTTAAAGAACCAATTGTAAATGTGATTGGATTGTGTCTATTTGCTGTGGCTAGAAAGTCTGAGCCTTCTGGTTCACCCACTAAAGGAAGAAGCTTCATTGTTTATTAAGGTTTTTGTTTTATGGTTTGTTTTTCATTTTGTTTTTTTGTGGTGGGGCACTTTCTGAAAGAACATTCCTAGTGTCACTTAAAGAGAAGTTATTTATGGAACTAAAATTTTGATTTAAGTAAAAGAAATGCACTGAAACCAGAATTGAACCATGATCTGTTTAATCATGTGAGATTTATGGGTAATTTAGCAAGAGAGGATTCTCTCAAGCAAGATTTTAGGTCTTCTCCCATAAGAATGTCTCCCAGACTTCACACTTCTCTGAGTTTCTTTGACCGGATGATCTTTTGCTGAGAAGGGCGAAACTGGGAATGTAATCCAGTTTATTATATGAAAACTACAGGTGTATCTGTGGTCAGGATGGTTGTTTATAGATACCTCACTGAGCGCTGACATCTTAATAGACACATTTATTCTATGCTTCACACTGGTTAATAATGAAGGTTCACAACTTTCTTAAGAATGCATGTTAGGCTTATTTTCACTTGTTATAGGTAAATGTTTATTTTAATGAATTTAATTTTGATAAGTAGAGAGCTTTATTAGAAAGGTCTGTTTGTATTTCAGAATCTTACAAGGAAATCAGATTAAGTCAATTACAAAGAAAGCATTCATTGGTCTTGAATCCCTTGAGCATCTGTAAGTATTTTTCAGCCATTTTGCTCAGTATATAAATAATCTTTGCTCTTAGCAGAGATTTTCATGACCATTTAAAGTGTTTATATAACTTAATTGTAGAAATGGTGACTGGTAATGTTTCATTTCTCTTCATTTCAGAGATTTGAACAACAATGCCATAATGTCTATCCAAGAAAATGCTTTTTCCCAGACTCGCTTGAAAGAACTGTACGTAACTTAAGTCTTTTTTGTCACTAATTAGATCATTATCCACGCTTGTGCTTAAAGTGTGATGAATGTGACCCAGATGTTTCCCAAAGCACACAATTCAGGCAGGAAAAAAGAAAGTGTTAACATTCAGTTATTTTAGTGACTGGATGTAATTTAAAAATAACATTGAAAAGCCCAGAGTGTGTGGCTCCAAGACCTTCTGTTTTTTTCCTGTGTTGCTGATGCATGTAGTTAAAGAGACCTTAGCAACGCTGCTTATGCTTTATGTTTACCCTACTGTTCCTTTTTTATTCCCCTCGTCCTTTTTGGACTGTTGGAGACATGTGTTCTCTTGGGATGAGTTACAATTAAGGTATTATGTAATTTTTGGAGGTGATCTAGCACTTTCAGTATAATGGTCACAGAGGATGTCTCTAATCTGTTCAAACTACTAAAATGTTCCAAAACTGTTGAATAGTTATGATAGAAAAATACACATCATTTTAATGTTTTTTCATTCATGATTTAAAAAAATTGTTATTTCCCAGGGGGGATTTCCCAGGGGTGGGGTGGTTAGTTGGGCGTTGCTCTTAATTTTAAACTCTGGTGATTCGGATATTGAGCCACTGGTAAGAATCAACGGGCTATATCAACTTATCTTGCCTTGCCTGAAGGCTATTCAAAGGGAGGTCTGTGGACCAGAGCTGATTCATGACGAGAGAAGGATAGAAATTCAGAGCAAGCTTTTTAGAAACTTATAGAACAATTTGACCTTACTGTGACACTTCTGTTGAATTTTATAAGTATTGATCTATAACAGATTGGGAATTTAAAAAACTGGTCCTTCTCCACATATAGTTTGAGATGCGCTGGAAGTATGTGAGTTCAAATTGCCTCGGTTTAGATTCTTGCCCCATTCTTTACAACTGTGTGTTTAGCCTAGGACTCAGTTTCCCTTCTCAATATGGGAAGAGCACCACCCTCAGGCTTATGTGAAGATAAAATGAGATAATTTGTTTATGGAAGAAATGTTTATTGTCATCTGCTATGTAAGGTACTGTTCTAAATGCTAAAAACGCAGTAGTGAACAAGACAAAGTCTCTGTCCTCATAGCATATTACAAAATTCTGTTAGGAAGATAAATAGTAAACCAGTAGGTATATAATATCTCATCAGATAATAAATGTTCTGAAGAAAAAGCTGGGTCAAAGGTGTACAGCGTGACAGGGATTGCTATTTTGAAGTAGTGAGGGAAGGCTTTTCTGAAGATAACAGCCTTTGAGCCAGGCCCTTAGTGAGATGAAATGGCAAACCATTTTATACTGGGCAAAGGGCATTCCAGGCACAGGGAAGAGCAAGTGAAAAGGCCCTGAGGAAGGAGCTTGCTTTTTGTGCTTGAAGAACAGCAGAGACACTGATGTGGCTGGAAGACAAGAGCAAGGGAAAGAATGGTAGGAGATGAGGTCAGAGACATAAACAGGCCTGATCATGTAGGGCCTAATAGGCCACGAGGAGTTAGGACTTTTTTCCCTCTAAGTGCATTAGAAAGCTTTTGAGGGTTTTGAGAAGATACTCCACACAGAGCCTGGCATATAGTAAAAGGTGAATAACTAAGATAATAACAAAAGTTAAAATGTTATGGAGATCATCTTTTGTTATTTTCTGCCAGATTTTTTTAAAAATAAATTTATTTACTTATTTTTGGCTGCATTGGGTCTTCATTGCTGCACACAGGTTTTCTCTAGTTGCGTTGAGTGGGGGCTACTCTGTTGTGGCGCGTGGGCTTCTCATTGCGGTGGCTTCTCTTGTTGTGGAGCATGGACTCTAGGCACGCGGACTTCAGTAGTTGTGGCACGTGGGCTCAGTAGTTGTGGCTCGCGGGCTCTAGAGTGCAGGCTCAGTAGTCATGGCGCATAGGCTTAGTTGCTCCTTGGCATGTGGAATCTTCCCGGACCAGGGCTCGAACCTGTGTCCCCTGCATTGGCAGGTGGATTCTTAACCACTGCGCCACCAGGGAAGTCGTCTGCCAGATTTTTAAAGTGGCTTGCTTATTTATTTATTTATTTTTTTGGTCTCTTGAGATATTTTGAGTTATTTCTCCTAAGGCTTACTTTAACTTGAAAAGGCACAACTTACTGCATATCAGTATTACCTTTTTTTGGTTGTGATAATCTGAGGGCCAGCAAGAAAGTTTTAACTCTTGTTAAGAGAAATCAGTTTAAAATATAATTTTTATAGGTGAAAGCAAATATCATAGTTTCATTCTTCAGAGAGTCACTTGGTGATTTTTTGAGTTGGTTTGAACAAGCTGCTAATGCAGGAACTCTAATGCAGCTTATTTACTGAGAAGTTTTAGTTGCTCTTGGTTACTTTAAATTTAAGTCATATTTATAATACAGAATTTCACATCAACATTTATTAAAGTATCTCTTAATACTTTTTGGTATCCTTCACAGTGCTTTGCATAAATATTGGGGGGAGGTGGGAGAGTCAAATATGAATTAAAAATTGTTCTGCATTAAAATTATGTAATCATGGTAGAAAATTAGATAGTTAAACCAAGAGGGAGAGAAAGACCCCAAATCCCCAGTACTAAAAAGACAACCACTGTTGATATTTGGTATATATCTATCCATATACTTGCGGAGAGAATGCAGGATATACTCCATTAGGTACAGCAGAGTTCATTAGCATGTGAAGGGTGGAAAGATGCAAAAGAAACAGAAGTGAAGGGAACTTATGTGAATCTTGTGGTATCTATGGCCAGACACTATGCTAAATGCTTTATTTAAAAAAAATTTTGAGGTAGGTGTTCTTAATCCCACTTTCCAGGAATAGAAACTGAGATTTTGGAGGCATTCAGTATCTTGCCTAAGGTAAGTAGTGGAATTAGGATGTAAGTCCATGAGGTAACTTATATCTAAGAAAGCATAAGTTAGACCATATCATTCCTCTGTTCTTAACCTTCCGGTGTCTTCCCAGCACACATAGGAAAAAAACAACTCAGGTTCTTTCCTTAGTTTATAAAGCACTTGCATGGCCTGGTCCTTCTTGCCCATCTCTCTGACCTCATTCCCGTCACTGTCCCCTCACTTTCTGTGCTCTGGCTTCAGTGGCCTCCTTGCTTTTCACACTAAGCACACTAAGTATCTGCCTCAAGGTCTTTGTGCATAGTTTCCTCCGTCTGTGACACTCTTACCTCAGATCTTCATGTGATTTGCTCTCTCGATTCTTTCAGGTCTTTGCCCAAATGCCATCTCTTCAAAGAATCTTTCCCTGACTGCTTTATCTATACTGGTAGCTGCTGTCTCTATGTCTCTGCCCAGCTTTGTTTTTCTTCACAGGACTTAACTTTCTGACACTATACTTTGCATTTGTTTGTTTATTGCTTGGCTCTAAATACATAAGCTTTGTGAGAGCTGTAGTGCGACAGCCTAGAACAGTGCCTGGCATATAGTAGACTCAAATATTTCTCGGTGAATGAATGCGTATAACATAAGAATTTGAAATGCAAAAGGTAACTTTTGGCCTGCTTAATTAAAATTGCCCTTGATAAAGTATGGCTTTTGGGGTACCCTTAAAGACTGAAACTTCTTTGGAATCAGATCTTAGGTATTTTTATACCAAACTTTAAAATTACTTGAGGATTTTGGTGATGCACGCAAAGCAGGTTATAATGTTGTCAAAATCACTTGCTTTCCCTACTTCCAAGTGGATGAGACATTTAAGGGTCATTAAAATAAAACACTGACTTTTCACGTATATTTTATAGGCCTATTATAACCACAAACCATTTTTCAGTGGTTCTTAGTTTAGGTTGCAGTACACATTGCCACAGGGCTGAAATGTTTTTAGTCTTGATGAAATAATTTGAAAATAATTATATCCTCTCCACAGCAAAGATGTCTCTATGTCCCAATATATATAGTAAGCTCTTCCCCAAATTTCTCTGGGAAAAATTTTAAACGTCAAAAGTTTAAAGGACAGTACAATGAACATCCATATGCCATTTACCTGGATTCATCAATTCTTAACTCTTTGCTAAATTTGTTACCTGTTGCTCTCCCTCCCTCCTTCATTCTTTCCCTTTCTCTCTCCTTCTGTCTCTCTCCCTCTTTCCACACACACTCATATACGTATATACATACACTTATTATTTTGCTTAACCAGTCGAAAGTAAGCTACAGACATCATGACACTTCACTCCTAAAATATCTCAGCATGTATTTCCTATGCAGGGTTATTTTCTTATATAACCACAGCACTATTATCACACCCAATGAAATTAACATTGATAAAATAATATTATCTAATATGCAGTCCATACTGAGATTTCCCTAATGTCCAAAAATGTTCTTTGTGTATATATATTTTCTTAATGAAGGATCACGCTTTACATTTGGTTGTAATGACTCTTTAGTCTCCTTTAATCTAAAATAAATCCCTTACCCTTATTCCCCCTACCCCTTTTATTAGTGTCTTTCATGACACTGTCATATTTGAGGAAACAAGGCTGACAGTCTAACTTTGTTTTTTCATGGTTAGATCCAGGTTAAACATTTTTTTGGCAAGAAAAATGCTTAGGTGTGTAGTAATCTTTCTTTTTCCTCTTAATTTATTTATTTTTGGCTGTGTTGGGTCTTCGTTGCTGCGCGTGGGCTTTCTCTAGTTGCAGGGAGCGGGGCCTACTCTTCGTTGCGGTGCGCTGGCTTCTCATTGCAGTGGCTTCTCTTGTTGCGGAGCACAGGCTCTAGGTGCGTGGGCTTCAGTAGTTGTGGCACATGGGCTTAGTTGCTCTGTGGCATGTGGGATCTTCCCGGACCAGGGCTCGAACCGTGTCCCCTGCATTGTCTGGCAGATTCTTAACCACTGCACCACCAGGGACGTCCTGTGTAGTAAGCTTTTAATGCTGGAGAAACTTGGAATGAAAAGTAAAGGGCACTTCTTTTCCTTTTGTTTCTGCAGAATTCTGAACACAAGCAGTTTGCTCTGTGACTGCCATTTGAAGTGGTTGCTTCAGTGGCTGGTTGATAATAACTTTCAACATTCTGTGAATGTAAGCTGTGCACACCCTGAATGGCTAGCAGGGCAAAGCATCCTGAATGTGGATCTGAAAGATTTTGTCTGTGGTTTGTATTTTTGTTTTAATATTTTGTATATTATGCACTTACTATCTTAACAACGGAATTAAAAAAAATTTTAAATAGAATGCTTTCCTACTAGCATATCTATTTCCATTTCTTTAGATTCTTCTCTAACATTTTTATATTGTAATTGTAGCTTAAATTTTGTGTTCTTCGACTTAATACATCATAAGCAGTTTTTTTCCTCAGTGTGTTCTTAAATGATCATTTAAAATATTGTCTGTATTATAGCATCTTTATGAATGTAGGCCTTTACCTTTTAGGGAGATTATTAGCCTTAGAATAAATATCTAGTAGTAAGATTCCTGAATCAAAAAGTGTGAGTTTTTTTTCATGAATTCATTCAAAAGCATGATTTTATATTCAGTAGATCTTGAAAAGTGCTACCAGGTGTTTTCAAACAGGTAGCACTAGTTTATGTTGTCTCCAGCAATGTATGAATGTACCAGTTTCATTTGGTTTCTTTTTTTTTTGTGGTAAAACTTTGTGGTAAGTTCAGGCACATAAAATACTTAAGTTGTTTTTACAAACTTTAAGGAAGAAAACGAAGAATCTAGTAATGATTAAATTCTGCTTACATTGCCATGAATGCCCTTCTGACTTTAGTTTTAAACATAAGCTTACACCATACAATTTATCTCCTTTTTTTAGTTATCACTTTTATGGCACAGTGAAATGTTACCCAGCGAAGACATTGGTTAAGAATTCATATACCTGCTTCTCTGAATCAGTCCAATAATATATTATTATTTGTGAATCTATAGTTTATTAGCCAGTCCTAAGCCAGTCTTCATTTGGACATTTGACATGTTTGGAATTTTTCACTATTTTAGGTGAAAGTTATGCACAAAGTACTTTCAAATAGTATGTTTTATTAATAGGAATACCTATTTTTTTTTTTTTTTTCGGTACGCGGGCCTCTCACTTTTGTGGCCTCTCCCGTTGCGGAGCACAGGTTCCGGAGGCGCAGGCTCAGCAGCCATGGCTCACGGGCCCAGCCGCTCTGCGGCATGTGGGATCTTCCCGGACCGGGGCATGAACCTGTGTCCCTTGCATCGGCAGGTGGACTCTCAACCACTGCGCCACCAGGGAAGCCTGGATATACCTATTTTTATATATGTTATATATACACACAAACACACACATACACATACACACAAGGGGTAATAGAATTAGAGCTTGTTTTAAAATTCTAATTTAGGTTTCTCCTTTTCTCAGTAACTGGTAATACTTAAGAAGTACATTCAAAGCATAAGTGACAGTAAGGGATGGTAGAAAGAGTGCTAAGCCCTGAAGTCTGAAAACCTGGGTTCCAGTCCAGGCTTAGCTGTGGACTTACATATCTTAGAGCAAGTCATTTGACCCTTCTGGGCATCATTTTCCTCATCTTAAAACAAGGGAATTGGATTCTAGCTCTATAGTCCCTTTCAACCTTAACATGACATTTTGTAAACATAACATGCAATTTTACATTATTTTTTTTAAAATTGAATCTATAGAAGCAAAAATAAATAACTGACTTGGCTCCTGCCCCATTTTTTTCTCCTTAGATGATTTTCTCAAGCCACAGATAAGAACCCATCCTGAAACCACAGTTGCTCTAAGAAGCATGAACGTGACTCTGACATGCACTGCAGTGAGCAGCAGTGATTCACCCATGTCTACTTTGTGGCGCAAAGACAGTGAAATCTTGTATGATGCTGATATTGAGAATTTTGTTCGTTATCAGCAACAAGCTGGAGAAGCTCTGGAATATACTAGTGTCTTACATCTTTTCAATGTAAATTTCACAGATGAAGGAAAATATCAGTGTATTATTACTAATCACTTTGGTTCTAACTATTCTCATAAAGCCAAACTGACTGTGAATGGTAAGAAATTATGCTCCCTGATAGTTTTGTGGTTAGAAGGATTTTTCATGTTTGATTTTTGAATCTTTGACCAAGAAAATTAGGATAAACCTGACATTGTGGGGGGATTCCTTACTGTTTTTGTCTTTAGGGTTATGACAGTATACAGACTGGATTGCTAATTTACCCACTTACTGTCCCTAATCAGTCTTTGACTGAGGGGTAAAGGTGAATTCTGTGGCTCTAGGAGATGGGCTACTTTCACTTTTATTTATGCTTTTGAAAAAAAAATTTTTTTTAATTCTCCATTTTCTTTCCAGAACCATAATTCTGTTCTAAAAACTATGAAATTTATTCCTGACATTGTTCACAGGCCGTCCAATAACTGGGAGTATTGAGAACATTTCTGGGTCCAGTGATCATTATCATTGTCTAAATGTAGTCACACAAAACCATTTTTGAAAATAATGCTCTTTTTCATTGTGGCTGTGAAAGGAAAACACAAAACAGCTTGATTGATCTATCACCTGTTAGGCTGAATAACTACAACACTAACACTTCAGGCTTTGTGCAACCAAAAGATGTACATATGTCTTGATCCTGGGTTGTTTTATGAGATGTTTGAAGGCATAAATTTTTTTTATCATGCAGTTTCCTTGACAGCTTTGTAGATGTTTGTTTGGGAAGCACCATTTAGTCTCTTAAGTAAGGGAGTCATAGTAAATATTAAGTTCTAAAATATATGTTCAAAAAGGTTTGTGGCTTCTGCTTTTTCTGTCCCTATCAAGGAGATCAGGTAGATTTGCCACGCATTCTAGAAGAGTCAGTCATCACTGTACTCCATGCCCTGAGGTTCTGGGAGAAAAGATGGCCTCTGAAGTAGTATTTATTGTCAATGCAGGGAGCATGTCTTCTCAAAGAAATGGAGCATTACAACAGTTGGTATTTTGCCTAATAGAGTCTCCCTTGTATGTATGTATGAGTGTATGTATATATGTGTGTGTGTGTGTGTGTGTGTATATATATATATATATATATATATATATATTCCCCCCACCCACCCACATTCTCTTGGTGATCTTTTTTGGAACAGAGATGCCATCTTTTCTGAAAACTCCAATGGATCTAACTATTCGCACTGGTGCCATGGCCAGATTAGAATGTGCTGCAGAGGGGCACCCTGCACCTCAGATTTCCTGGCAGAAAGATGGTGGTACTGACTTTCCTGCAGCTCGAGAGAGACGCATGCATGTCATGCCTGAGGATGATGTCTTCTTCATTGCAAATGTGAAAATAGAAGACATGGGGATCTATAGCTGCATGGCACAGAACATAGCAGGCGGCCTCTCAGCAAATGCTTCATTAATCGTGTTAGGTATGTTTATTGCTCCGTGGGTCCCTGCTTTTGTGGGAGTCTTTTTATTATGGATTGACTCTTGGTCTTAATGGCAAGAAGAATCTATGTTTGAGATTTTAGTTGGGATTCTTATATCTTTGTTTCCTTGCTCTGCCAATTTATGCAGGGTTATGTCAGCCTAGGATATTAGTGGATCAGTAAACTGAAATCTGGGGAAATTCTGAGGGCAGAATTAGAGATTTTTATCCCATGAATTGAATATTCAAATCCCTTTGTCCTGTTATGTTTTCCTCTGTAAGTTTTCTACTTCATGTATATGTTTTTTCTACTATTCAATAGTGAGTTTGCACTTTTATACTGCCTCACATACCTGCTTCACAGAGAACTTGAGACAATGTAACTTTCCCCCCAGTTCATTTTTTTTTTTTAAATTATAAGATGAAAAAAATGATCTGTCTTCTGCTTAGATTTCCTGTTTTCCTTCCAGTGTGCTCCTGTTAATCCTATCCTCTGGTAAAATGTCTTTTCCTCATAGATTTCCCCTGATAAGCCAGTTTGTTTTCTTATGAGAACACTTTTCTTTTTAAATTGGGGTATAGTTGTTTTACAGTGTTGTGTTAGTTTCTGCTGTACAGCGAAGTGAAGTAGAGTTCCCTGTGCTATACAGCAGGTTCTCATTAGTTATCTGTTTTATACATATTAGTGTATATATGTCAATCCCAGTCTCCCAATTCATCCCACCCCCCACCCTCTTCCCCCTTTGGCATCCATACATTTGGAAAACACTTTTCTTCATGGGACTCAAATTCAAGGTAAATTCTCTTTTCCTCTAGATGTTAGGGTTTTAAAAAATGTGTTGGTTTGTGTAATTACTTGTGTAATCAGAAAAATAAGTTTATTGTTTAAAAAATTTAAGATATGTAGAAAATTAGAAAAAAAGAGGGAAGGTCACGCAGACACCGTTAAAGATTTTGACATATTCTGGAGTTTTTAAACACTCATCTGGGGACTTCCCTGGTGGTCCAGTGCTGAAGAGTCCGCCTTACAATGCAGGGGATGCGGGTTCAATCTCTGGTCAGGGAACTAAGAGCCCACGTCCCTCAGGGCAACTAAGCCCGCGCACCACAACTACTGAGCTCACGCCTCAACTAGAGAGCCTGCCTGCCGCAAACTACAGAACCCATGCTCTGGAACCCATGTGCCACAACTATAGAGCCCGCACACCCTGGAGCCTGTGCACCACAAGTAGAGAAGAGAAAACCCACATGCCACAACTAGAGAGAAGCCCACGCGTGTGCTGCAAGGAAGGATCCCACATGCCTCAGTGAAGATCCTGCATGCCACAACTAAGACCTGACACAGCCAAAAATAAATTAAATAAATAAATAAATAATAAATCTTAAAAAAATCCCACGAAACTCATCTTGGGACTTCCCTGGCAGACCAGTGGTTAAGACTTGGCCTTCTGGGGCTTCCCTGGTGGCGCAGTGGTTAAGAATCCACCTGCCAATGCAGAGAACATGGGTTCGAGCCCTGGTCTGGGAAGATCCCACATGCTGCAGAGCAACTAAGCCCACGTGCCACAACTACTGAGCTTGTGCTCTAGAGCCCGTGAGCCACAGCTACTGAAGCCCGTGCACCTAGAGCCCGTGCTCTGCAGCAAGAAGCCACCGCAATGAGAAGCCCACGCACCACAACAAAGAGTAGCCCCTGCTCACTGCAACTAGAGAAAGCCTGCACGCAACAATGAAGACCCAGTGCAGCCAAAAATAAATAAATAAATAAATAAATTTAAAGAATGAAAAAGATCGATGAAAGAAATACTTATAAACAAAACAAAAGCTTCGCCTTCCAATGCAGGGGGTGCAGGTTCGATCCCTGGTTGGGGAGCTAAGATCCCACATGCCTCACGGCCAAAAAACCAAAACATAAAACAGAAGCAATATTGTAACAAACTCAATAAAGACTTTAAAAATGGTCCACATCCAAAAAAAAAAAATCTAAAAAAGAAAAAACACTCATCCTTATGTGGTTATGTATGCCTGCTTTTTTCCACTTAATATTGTATCACAGGGTTACTGTGTCATTAAGTTTTCATGAATATCATGTGGCTGTGGTATAATTTACTTACTCATTTTTCTGCTAGATTTTTAGATTTTTTTCCCTTTAAAAATTACAACTAATTTTGTAATAAGCATTTTTGTATATAAATCTTTGAATTCTTTGCTTAGGATAGCTTGCTCAAGGTGTAATTCCTGAGATGAGATTTAGATTTTTTGAGGCTTTTGCTTTTCTGAAACATTAACTTCTAATCCTCCCATGAGCATATGAAAGTGCTTATTTCATCGTAACCTAATTAGTCTAATTCAATTAGGAATAAAACTGCCTAATATTTTTTAATGCATCTTTCTGTTAGAGACACCCTCATTTATTAGACCTCTGGAGGACAAGACAGTAACCCGAGGTGAAACTGCAGTATTACAGTGCATAGCTGGAGGGAGTCCTGCCCCTCGCCTCAACTGGACCAAAGATGATGGACCACTGCTGGTGACAGAACGGCACTTCTTTGCTGCAGCCAACCAGCTTCTCATCATTGTAGATGCTGGGCTAGAAGATGCTGGGAAATATACCTGCATTATGTCCAACACCCTTGGGACAGAACGTGGTCACATTTACCTAAATGTGATTTCCACCCCCAATTGTGACTCTTCCCAGAGTAGCATTGGGCATGAAGATGATGGGTGGACCACAGTTGGCATTGTCATCATTGTTGTGGTCTGCTGTGTTGTGGGTACCTCTTTGATCTGGGTCATTGTTATTTACCACATGAGAAGGAAAAATGAAGACTATAGTATCACGAACACAGGTGAGTGGTACCCGGTTGACCCTTGTGGCTTATACCGGAGTCAGGAATGTAGTGTAGGATTTGTTGTTAAATATAAAAAACTAAGGAGCTTTGATAATTTATTTGTGATAGAAGGAAGAGTTTTTCTGTTAAAATGTCCTACTTTCTTGATATAATGGAACCGCTCTAGTGAATAAGCTTAAGAATTTGTAGACAGTCCCCCAAAACTTTGTTCTTTTAAACAGTTGCATGTGCACCTTCTTTCTTTAATACCTAAGGCTCATTTCCATTGTAATTTTCCTTTGGGGAAGAGTGGAGTCGTTATGACAGAGATCAGTCTTTCACACCTGTCCCCCACCCTGAAATCCTGTAAGAGAAGAGGTACAGCCAGATAGATTGCTAAAGTGTGTCTGTGGATAAGATTTCAGACTTCAGGTTTTTTTTCTTTTGGTAATACTTTTAAAATGAAGCTTGGGGGAGAATTCTAGTGAGAAATAGTTTTCAGAGAAAATTCTAGGAGTTGTTGAATTCCTAGGTACATAACATTTTCCTGGCCATTAGTACCAAAGTAGAATACATTTGCAAGATAGTCTTCTGAGTTTTGGCTTAAATTGCCTAACTTTATTTGAGAGTTACAGATGTCTCTTTTACAGACGAGCTCAATCTGCCTGCAGACATTCCCAGCTACTTGTCTTCCCAAGGAACACTGTCTGAGCCACAGGAAGGCTACAGCAACTCTGAGGCAGGTAGTCATCAGCAACTTATGCCTCCTGCCAATGGATATTTACACAAAGGCGCTGATGGTAATGACTTTTTATTATCTGTGCTTACAATTTCAGCCTACCCTGTTTAGTTTTTTTTTAAGTGTATAGTTTTCCACAGTAATCTGAAGCAATGTTTTAAAGTAAGCTACTCAATGAAAACATTTGCCCCATGCAAAATAGGATGAAAATTGACTAAAGTCTTTTTTTTTGAGTTTTATTTTATTTATATTTTTATACAGCAGGTTCTTATTAGTCATCAGTTTTATACACATCAGTGTATACATGTCAATCCCAATCTCCCAATTCATCACACCACCACCACCATCCCCCACCGCTTTACCCCCTTGGTGTCCATACGTTTGTTCTCTACATCTGTCTCAATTTCTGCCCTGAAAACCAGTTCATCTGTACCATTTTTCTAGGTTCCACATATATGCGTTAATATACGATATTTGTTTTTCTATTTCTGACTTACTTCACTCTATATGACAGTCTCTAGATCCATCCACATCTCAACAAATGACCCAATTTCGTTCCTTTTTATGGCCGAGTAATATTCCATCGTATATATGTACCATATCTTCTTTATCCATTCATCTGTCGATGGGCATTTACGTTGCTTCCATCACCTGGCTATTGTAAATAGTGCCGCAATGAGTATTGGGGTGCATGTTTCTTTTTTTTCGTTATGCGGGCCTCTCACTGTTGTGGCCTCTCCCATTGCAGAGCACAGGCTCCGGATGCGCAGGCTCAGCGGCCATGGCCCACGGGCCTAGCTGCTCTGCGGCATGTGGGATCTTCCCGGACTGGGACATGAACCCATGTCCCCCGCATCGGCAGGCGGACTCTCAACCACTGCGCCACCAGGGAAGCCCGCACGTGTCTTTTTGAATTATGGTTTTCTCTGGGTATATGCCCAGTAGTGGGATTGCTGGATCATATGGTAATTCTATTTTTAGTTTTTTAAGACACCTCCATACTATTCTCCATAGTGGCTGTATCAATTTACATTCCCACCAACAGTACAAGAGGGTTTCCTTTTCTCCACACCCTTTCCAGCATTTGTTGTTTGTAGATTTTCTGATGATGCCCATTCTAACTG